AGTCAGAGGTTTTGTGAATTTAGTTTGAGTATTTGGATTTGTGTTTAAGGTTTTGAGAAAATGAGTGGTGGTTTCAAGAAATGTGTTTTAGCAATTCAGAAAAACTGTAATAAAACTGCTTGTGAGCCAACCACAAACCCATACAGCAAATCTGTTGTTTGCATTGTCTGGTTAATTTGTTTCATAGCCTTGAACTGTGAAGGAGGCATGCTTACTTCAAACCGGTTAACTTTACTCACAGCAGGTAAAATGTGAGTTCACCTAGAGAGATGGTGAAGAAAGCAGGGTAATCAACTTCAAAGCACTCGGTAAGGTTGCCAAGCTGTTCACACATCTCCATTCACCATGTTAAAACTGGAAAAAGGCAGAAGAGAAACCAAATACAAGTGTTTATGGAGATGTTAGTTAATCATCTCTTTCAGCACCGTAACATTTCGAAAACATAAAGAAAGTAGGCAAAAAAAGTTTGTAATATTTATTTTGTCCATGTTAGGTACTGTGTATGCAGATGTGTATCTATATTACAAATTACACAGTGCTGACTGTCTTTGTCTACAGGTGTATGTATGTACAGTATGTAATTATGCACTGTATATATGTTCAGTTACATGCATAGAATTTTTTCTTATTACAAAACATGTACAAGGAAGCTCAGAGGATTTGCATTGCGAATTAACTATATGTAATGCTTAGCACAAGTATAAGCTGCAAAATTCAATGAATAAATTGGTCGGAATTTCTGACATGAAGAAGTCTTTAGTCTATAGGTCTGGAAATGTGACACTTCCTAAACTGTTTTTAATGAAAGGCTGTAGCATTTTCAGTCCATAGCTGCAATAATATTAGCATTTCTATATCATGATGTTAACAACATGCAGTGACACATCTTTCAGCAGGGGCTGGACTTTCCTTCCTTTCATGTCTGCCATTCGGACATGGCACTGATACACCCACCAGGAGGATTAGGGAAGGTTTAGCAACTGTGCCAGCCTTACTCCTTTTGCCACCCCTTCCCTCAGCACAGAGGGGGTCCCACTTGGCATGGCAAGGTGAACTAGCCTCTGATTGATGGGCATGGTTTCAGCCTGCTACTGTGCTCCCTAAGGCCTGTGCCTCCCTTTCCTTTCTCCTACTGCTGTCTTGGCAGCGGTGCCCACCTCCTCTTCCATGCCAGGCAGCCAGCTAAAGCTCCTGGTGGGCACATCAATTACATAGCGGCACCTCCCCTCTTTTCTCATGTCTGTTTGTGGGTCTGTCTACTTTCTCAGACAATGCCAATCTGGTCCCTCTCCATCTCCACTGCTGTCTATAGCTATCTCCTGTGTGTGTGTGTGTGTGTGTGTGTGTGTGAGTTTGTGGTTGTATGCCCATGTTCACAAATACACTTTTACATATGCACAAATTCACATATTCAGGAACACACTCCTGCTCCCTCTCTTAGGCAGGTCATAATGGTTGGTGGGGAAATCCTCCCCAGAGACCACTCATTGCTGCAGCCTCAGCTGTGCAATAGGCTCAGGTGTGTTTATGTGTGTACATGTGTATGTGGTATCCTGTGCAGGCACATGACTGCTGTTACTGTTTGAAATTTCTTTAAATGCTGCTTAATTGCCCATTGCTTTATGTGACTGCTTTATATGAGGATATAAAGGTATAAATTGTAGTAATGAAGAATCATTGTATTAAAGTACTCTACTGTTTCTGAAGTCAATTAACGTGATTATTTCAACCTTACTTGGGATTTTGGTGCTTAGGTGTCTGGCAAATCGTGAATCATTACTTGCTGCTTACGCCACCTGGAGTTTCCAACAGACTACTGTCTTTTATAAACAGTCGGGATTTGTGTTTTGATTTTAAGGGAATATCGATACAAATGCACGTTTCTCCTTAAATTATGTTAATACAAAATTAGAAATATTTGTGAGAACGTGCACAGACAGCAAATCAAACTTGGTTTAGCATATTTTAAGTGTGTCAGTCTAAAATCGGTTACATATTTTTCTGCAGTTAGATGAAGTCAGATATGCGTAAAATGGACTAAAATGTGAAGTGGAAACATCAACAACGACATAGTGCGTTCGTTACGCTTTTTGGCTCAGACAGTGCGGAACCACGGATGGGGAAGCGTGGAGACTGAAGCGGGGAGCCGGGAGTGGGGGGACAATGGCGTCGGGGCCTGGTGTTTCTATGCATAGCAGTAGTCCTGCGAGAGAGCTTTCTCTCTCAGCTCAGCAAGGAGGGAGTCAGACGCATGGAGATCGGGTCAGACCCGAAGACGTAACAGGTAAGAAGATGACCCCTACATTACTTTTGTTTGGCTTACTGTGATTTTTGTTTTTTGCTATTATAGTGTAGCTTGCTGGATAAGTCGACAGGCTAAGTGCGGCTAACAGCTAACCTTTACCATTTAGCCGACTATGTAACGTCAACGATTGCTTTTTAGGTATGTTTTGACATGTTAATTGAGCGAATTTATATCTATTATGTGGGTGATTTTAAAACCCCAAAACGCAAGTTTATGGCACTGGCAGATAAACTAGCAGGTAGCTCCCTGTTTTGGTGTAGCTAACAGCTAGCTAGCTAGCTAGTTAATAGTTAGCAGCTCGCTAGCATCAAGTTTGTAGAAACATTAGTTAACGTTTAGTAAACACAAATCTCTCTGTAAGTTATATAATGTTACCTCACGATTTTACATTACATTTTTTAGTAGCCTTGAATAATAAATGCATTTTCAGCATAAACTGTAATTTTGTAGCAGTCTTAGTAACTAGCTCATTTTGACGGATTGATGTGTTTGAGCAGTCTAGCATAGTTAGCCTAGCACAGCCTCGAGACGTTCATTCAGAAGATAGCAGGTATGCTGAACATATAAAATGTGAAACGTATGTATGAACAAACAAATTACCAATAATAAATATGCACCAAGGTTTAAAGTGAACAAACTATTTCATGGGAATTCACATTGAAGGCAATAATAAACTCAACACAACTAAATGAGCTGACTAAAATAATAGTATCAAAATATTGTCTCTTATTTATGGAGTCAATACCAAATTAGTGGTTCTTTCCAGGAACTTCTGAAGAAATTATTAGGAAATAATGGACATGTATAATAAAGCACTTGTCCATTTGTTTCAGATGCTAATCATGACAAGTCATTGTGATACTCCTACTAATGGACATTAATGTTACATGTACTATTTGCGGGGTACTCATAAATGGTGTTTTGCCCGTAAACTAGAACTATTTAATGCAAATTATATATACCCATAAATTATATTACTTTGGAAAAATGTGTTGGTTTTTTTTGCTGAATATGATTCTTGCTCTGTTCTACCATATTAACTTATTTTGACCAAATTCTATTTTCATAACATCTGATTTGATTTATTATGTCACAAACACCTGTCAGTATAACACAATGCAGTTCAATAGCACCACAAATCATAGCTTCTAAAAGACAAAATACCATGTTTATATGGTTGAATTAGCTTTACCCAAGTGTACCTGATAAAATCTAATAAAATTGCAAATGAGTACTTTGTCTATGGCTGAATGTATCATAAAAAAGAGCATCCTATTCTTGTGTGTGTGTTGGTTACTTGCTGTATTCTTCTCCATTTTAGTTTCAGTAATGTTCTGTGGGGAAAAAACATCTTAGTGATGAAGAATTGCAGTCAGTGGGTTACAGTTGTGTCCTTACATGGTAATTGTATTCTCTGTTGCGATGTTCATCAGCTATTTGAAAATTGTGAGTGTCAGATGCTTTACATATCATCATCATCATCATCATCAGCATCATCCTTTATTAGCAGACTCAAGGTCCATACAAAAAAGAAAAAGAAAGGATATAAAAGAAGAAAAATAAATAAATAAAAATCATAAAAGACATTTATACCAATGTGCATCCATCTAAAGCAGGTTACACAATCAGACAGAGATGCAAAATGTCACAATCAAACATAGACAGACGAAAGCGAAAGCATTTGCCAAGAATGTTTTCATTAATCAATCATATGTTAAAAACAAAAGTGAAATGAACATGCAGGAAAACCTGCATTTAGCCCAGTATACACCTCATGCCCTGTATTTAATAAAAATTATTTTCTTGGGGGAAGAGATGAGATGAACCAGGAATTTTAATTTAGTTGCATGAATGTGTACTAATTACATTTTTATTTAGACTGTTATTTAATTTATATTGCATGCTTTTTGTGTTTGCTTTGTTTTGCTTTATTTGTTTTTTGTTTTTTTTTGTAGAAGCAGAGAAGCAAAGTCGCATGGCTGCTCTGCTGGAGAGGCTTCATGCCAAACACAGTGCTTCACGGCCATGGCAGGAGACCTGCAAGGTTGTGCGTCAAGCCATGGTGAGACTTCGTTGTCTGAGAGAAAATAATCTGTTTGAATTTTTAAGGCAGAACTTGAAATCTGACTGGGTGCAAGATTGAAGCTTGCCTGAATATGTGGAACCCATTGATATGGGCCTGGTGACGAGGTGTCACCCCTCATTGTGCTTTGAGAAACTAGACAGGCTGGATGCCCCTCAGATGCAATGGTCAGACCTGAACTGACAAGGCAAATTTTAACAAACAGCAATAGGACAGGAACAAGTTCCTAAAGGTAGCTTGTGTCTTGTATTCTTTCATCACAACAAGACAACAATCAATACTTGATTTAAAAAAAAAAGTTGACACATTCTCACTTGAATATTAATGAGTCGTTATCGCTCTTGTGAAAGTTCAGTCAGATTGAATAGCACAAGGCAAAAGCTACAGGACGTACAGTATACATGATGGGTCAAATGCAGGTGACCCCTTCATTAATGGGGAACATGGCAGCAGGTCCTACTGGGAGGTCACAAATCTGAAAGACAAGGATAAAGGATTTTCTTCATTCCATGGCAGTACTTTCCTCACACTCAAAATTAGTTCAGTTCTGTACCTTCTTAGATGAGCCAGTTACATTTGAACTAGCGATTTTTGAAGACCTTGAAAAGTGCCATGAACATGCATATCAAACATATAATGTATAGTGACCCAGCAGTACCAGCTTTGCATCCTGAAACAGTGTATTTGGCAGACCCTCATCAGATCATTTTAAAGTACCCACTAGATAAACTCATTACCAATGTGTTTAATGTGCATTCACAGTAATTAATCACTTAATTGCACAAAAGAGTTTTTACTTTAACTTCCCATCTGGGCCGGTGAAACTGTAGTATAACCATTTAAATGTCTGACCTATTGTGCTAAATATGCAAGCACAAAAAAAAAAAAAAAAACTGAATATAAAATCCTGTTGATTAAGCTCTTTTTTTTCAATTGTTGTCTTATTTATCTGTTTTCCCTTGCACTGTGTCCCAGGAGAAACGCGGTGCGATGAATACAGCAGGTCACCATCTCCTGCTCACCTGCCTGGAGACCCTGCAGAGAGCACTTAAAGGTGAGGCTGGCACCTTGCAAGACCGAGACAAGGGAGAGCAGGGCAAATGTTTACATTACAGTGGGTTATTTTCCACAGTTACACAGGGAGAAACTGTATTTAGACTGAAAGAAAAAAATGCTACCAACATGCTTTTTTATGGAAAACAGATTTATTTATTTATTTATTTTTATGAAGTTATGGAGTTATAAAGTTTTGCCTCCATTAATTGAACGCACCATGCCTCAGTTGATCATTATGTGATTTTAAAAATGTTCTGTTCTGCCTTCTTTTCCAGTCTCATCACTGCCCTCCATGACAGATCGTTTAGAATCCATTGCTCGACAAAACATGTGAGTTTGTTTCCTTCTGCTCATGTTTTCTCATCTTGGGTTTCTCCCAGCAGTGACTGAATCACAAGGTTTCCATGAATACAAGATATAGAGGAGAACAGAAAATGAAAAATGTTCAGTTTGATGATGAGAATGAGGACCATAAATGGCTGAGTGGTTTACCCATAAATCATTGTGGGTTGTAATTATCCACTGTGAATTTGGTCACTGCACGCTCAAGGACAATGAATGTGCTTTCTCTTTTTCTGTCATTTTGTGTTTAATTTTTTTTTGTTTTGTTTTGTCTGTGCAGGCTGGGCTCTCACCTCAGCCCATCAGGGACAGAGTGCTACATCACATCAGACGCATTTTATGTGGAGGTGCAGCTGGACACCAGTGGCGAGCTAGTGGATGTCAAAGTGGCACATCAGGGAGAAAACCCTACGGTTAGTTTGTTCTTACTTCCGCATGTGTTTGTAAAGCTATGGTTAGCCATTTTTAATAATGAATTCTGTACCTGTGTACTGCAATTTAATAATTTTATCAAGTGGTTCTCCAAGAAAAGTAGAGTAGCTTTCATTCACCTTAGTGAAGGCTTCAAAAGTTGATTATATAACCCTTTGTTGGTAACAGAGCTGTCCTGAGCTGATTCAGCATCTAAGGTGAGTAGAAACCACACACTTCACTGTACACTCCCATATGATAAACAGCAAAACTATAGCATTTCTTGTGTTTGTGGAATGATGCTAGAAGCATCTGCAAGAAATAGTTATATTTGTTTGAAAGCTATTAAAGCCAGCTCTTCTCCTGCTTCTGATCAGGGAGAAGAACTTTGAAGAGTTTTCCAAACATCTAAAGGGACTGGTTGACTTGTACAAGCTTTCTGTGGACAAGTAAGTGGACTTGTAGCATGTCTATTTGAAGCCAGCCAGGCAGTTTTGGAGCTGTGAAAAAAGTGAATCCCAGAACTCCCAGTTCAAGACAGTTATCTTATATGACACAGATGGCCCATGTCACATTGATGATTATTATTGTTTTTGTCTCATATCTAAATATCTTACTTAATTTCTTTGTTCCAGCAAACTGAAAACCAAGATGTATATAGCACTGCAGTCTTTGGAGCTTGATCTCACCAAGATGATGCATATGTTTAGGTAAGTTTAAATGGTAAATGGACTTGTATTTATATAGCGCATTTTTCACAGTGTGTTGCACTGGCCAAAGCGCTTTACAGGAGATCAAACACCATTCACCAATTCACACACACACACATTCACACACCGATGACGACAAGGCTGCCACACAACGGCGCTAGTCAAGCCACCGGGAGCAATTCGGGGTTCAGTGTCTTGCTCAGGGACACTCACACTGCAGGTCTTAATACTCAGATTGGCTTTTTTGCCGAAATCCGATTTTTTTGGGCTGTTGTTCACACTGTCATTTAAATGTGACTGCCATCTGTCTCATGTGTGAACGGTATACGGCCCTGAAGTGACCAGCATGCGCAGAAGAGGACGTGACGTCAGACGCAGCGTACTGTATTTGCAGAAATAAAAATGGATGTGGCTGCGTAGCGATGTACCAGTTAATGTGCAATCGAAATAAAGAAATAATAATAAGAAGAATATCAAGAAGAAGGAGAGCACAAATATTGCTTATGGCCTTTTGTGGAGCAGTGGCTGCTACCTCTGTACAGAGGAATGTGTGGGTGCGGAGTCGGAGCCAGGACTGGTGGGATTCCGTGAGGGGCTTCACGGACACAGAATTCATTAATACTTTCCGAGTGAGAAGGGAAACGTTATCACCACCTGAATCACCGTTGTCTGCCATTTTTTTATTACCCCTCGCCTCCTCCAGTGCAGAATTGTGACATCTGTCGCATTTCAATGACATAAAAAGCGCATGAAATGCGACCTGGCCGTTCAGACTGAAGTCGCATTGCAAAACATCGGATACGTATCCGATTTAGGACCACATATGAAAGTGGCCTGGGTCGGATTTGTGCTGTTCACACTGTCATAAGGAAATCGGGTATGGGTCGCATTTGTGCAAAAAGATCGGATTTGAGTCACTTCAGCCTGCAGTGTGAACGTGGTCTTAGGCATGTGGGGAGACCAGGAGTCGAACCACCAACTTGCTGGTCAGAAGACGACTTGGCCTACCTCGTGAGCCATAGCCACCCCCATATAAGATCTCATTTTGTTACATTGTATGCTATCATGCCAGGAAATGCTACAAGCTAATGAAGAATTCAGTAAATTTCAAAGGATTTTAGAAATGACAAAGTCCTCAAGATTCATGTGGTTTTTAGAGAGTGTGGTAACAGACTGTGACCTGTGCAATTAATGTGACTTACTATAAATTGACTTAACTGGTAGTAATAATAGGAGTAAAAGTCTAATTTCAGCTTTTTTGTAGTGCATTCATTTTTGACTTGTTTTCTAGGTTAGCAACCAGTGCTAATACAGTGGAGACTATTCTTCATGGTAGTGTGGGACTGCTGACAGCCAGGAGCGGTGGCCATCTTGTTACTCTTCAGTGTTACGTGTCCCCTTATGACATATTTGAGGAGGGAACAGGCACACAGCTCAACTTAACAGACAACAATGGTAAGTGCGTGTAGCATGTAGACAATAGGTGTCTATATAAAAGATGAGGAACACAATGTACGCCAGCTACAAGCCATATAATTTGCTGATTGTAATTATACTCTGTCACTTGTCTCTATGCACACTTGGATCAATTTTTGCAGTGCCACACTCTCTTGGTGTCAGTGTGTCTGTGACAATTGAGGGTACCTCCGCCATTTACAAGCTCCCAATTGCTCCACTCATCACTGGATCCCACCCAGTGGACAACAAGGGGTAAGACAATACCTCTGTTTTTCAGGGAATGTATAAAATCCCAAAATGAACAACCTTTATATATTTGTAAAAGCTGCCAGTGTGCAGACAAAAATTAAACATGCATAAATATATCACTCGGACATAATAATGTGATTGTGTGGGGGTTATTTTAGTGGTCCAATGCAGAGCTAGGAAAGAGCAGAGCAACAGCTGATTATTTTATTTTTGATGTATTTTAGAACACCTTCCTTTTCCACTGTGACCAACTCCAACTGTGTGGACCTGCCAGCTTGTTTTTTCCTCAAGATGAATCATCCCATGCCTTTCTCTCTGTCCTTTATTCAGAGGATGGTTAATGCTACTTGTAAGTTTACCTAATGAACACTATTTTAGGTCATACATATGTACTGAAAGGGCAATGGTGTGATTTATTTTTTCCAAAAAACTGGACATCAACCTCTCTCCATGTTTTCCTAGCAATCCCAGTGTTTGAGACATCTCCCAGCCTTTCACCTCTTTACCAGTTAATCGTCCAGAGCCAGCTCCAGCGCCTAGAGGAGGGCAGCTCCACACCGCCACCCTCACACAACATGCACTTTTATTCTGTGAGCACACACAGTACAGCTATGCACGTCTTTAATATTAATATGTTTTTTTTAGTTAAGAAGGTATACAGTTAGTATGTAAAGTTTTCAGTCCCTTTCAAGTTTTCCAATGTACCCTACCACTCACCCAGTGTCAGCTGGGGATGGCTTTATCATTGTGGAGTATCGTGTGTAGATTGATGAGGAAAAAATTTAACTGAATTGATTTTAAGATGAGCTGAAAAAAACAAAGACGCTTCACCTCTCATCCAAGAGAGAGACTGAGTCGTTAAGGGACATTGTTGGCCATCAAAGGACTGAAACACCACCGAGGGGGATAAATATCTCCGGCTCAACACCAGTCAGTCAGAACTGATGAAGCCTCTTGGATGAGAGGTGAAATGTCTTCGACCTAGAAATCTAGTCCAGTTGATTTATTCTAAGTTTTTTTTTTTTCAGCTTACTATGACCTGGATGACTGAGAATCTGCACAGAGATTTTAAGATGAGTTTGAAACATAAAAATATGTGGAAAACTTGAAAGGGTCAGAATACTTTCCATACCAACTGTATTAATAACCATAATATGTTAAAAATCCTTTTCTTCTTACGTTTTCTATTAATTTTTTTTATACATGTAGATTGTATTTTATGGCTATATATGCACAGCCAACACAAACACCAGTTTTCAAATTGTTAATCATGTTTGTGTAAGAAAATTGCTGTCTTTGTTCTTACACAGGTGTTACCAGATCAACAGCACTGTTACTTCCTGAATGGTGATGCCCCAGTGCAAGACGGCCGTTCTCTTCAAGGAGCACTGGTTTCTAAGATCCCCTTCCGCCACCCAGCACAAGTGCCACTCCTGTTGGATATCATCCGCTACCAGGCAGCTTATAACACCTTGATTGGCAGCTGTGTGAAACGAACTGCCATCAAAGAAGGTGAGTATCTGGCTTCTGTTTTGCTGTATTTTGTCAATAAGCTATATGTGCATGTTGTTTTTTGTGTTTGATGTATGAAATTAAATTTCATGAGTATAGCACCTTTGCTGATGTTCTCCTCAGACAGTGCAGGCCTGCTGCAGTTTGAAGTATGCCCTCTTACCGACTCCAGTTTCAGTGTCTCTTTTCAGCACCCAGTCAATGAGTCATTAGTCTGTGGTAAGCCCTAACCTTTATAAAATCTCAGTAATTCATCCTATGTGTTATATTACTTTTCAGTGATATGTTAGTGAGTAAATTGTAGAATCTGTGGCAGCTTGTTGCTAAACTGAGTTCTTTTCTCTCTAGTGGTGATGGAGGTGATTGACTCGAGACAGGTATCCTGCAAGCTATATAAGGGATTGTCAGATGCTTTGATCTGCACTGATGAGTTTATCACAAAGGTGGTGCAGAGGTGAGGTTATTTCCTCCTGAATGCATAAATGTGGACATCATGTTTTCCAGTAGTGATGTAAGTAATTGTTTCCCTCCTGCTTCCCTTAGATGCATGTCCATTCCTGTAACCATGCGAGCCATTCGGAGGAAAGCGGAGACAATCCAGGCAGACACTCCAGCCCTCTCACTGATAGCACAGACAGTGGAGATCATGGTGAAGAATAACCTGCCTCCTTCTGGTAGTCCCACCTACAACATGGCAGGAGGCGATGGAACTAACCCCATGGGACTGCCTGGTCTCACAGGGGGCAACACACCAACTGGGGCAGGACCTGCTGGGGGACCCAGTTTTACAGGTCCAATTACTTCTCTGTTTGGGATATCCCGAACAGAGAGACAGGCCCAAGGAGGAGAGTGCCTAACACAAGGAGGGGTGGCTGGCCAGCAACAGTTGCAGCAACAACAGCAAGGTCAAGGCCATTCTGACGACTACAGCAAAGTGACCCAAAATCCCATACTAACAAGTCTGTTACAGATAACTGGAAGTGTGGGTTCGAGTCCCAGCTCCCAGAATGCACCACCGCCCCACCAAACACCACCGCCAACATCCTCCCCTGCCAGCAATACCAAGAATCATCCTATGTTGATGAACTTGTTGAAAGATAACCCCACACAAGATTTTGCTGCATTGTATGGTTCGAGTCCATTAGACAGACAGAATTCTTCATCTGGCTCCCCACGGACTGAAGGCGTGGGTGGAACCTGCCCTGGAGGTAGCACAAAGGGGAAGAAGAAGCGCCCACGAACGACAGAAAAGGGTGGCATGTTGCCTGGAACTGCGGGTGGTGGTTTAGGCATGAAATCACAAGTCTCTTCCATGCCACAGCATCACCAGCACCATCAAGTCACACATGAAGATGATTTCCACCGTGAGTTGCTTTCTATGGATGTGGATGCTTCTCAGAATTCTATCTTTGATGTTAACCTAACTGGTGATGGCCTAGACACGCCCCATAGCATCACTCCAGCACCAAGCCAATGTGAAACACCACCTTCTGGTCCCAGCATGCCTTATTCACAGTCTCATGTCCAGTCTCAGCAACAGCAACCACCAGGCACTGTGCCACCGCGTATGGTCCGCCTCTCCAGCTCTGATAGCATTGGGCCTGATATCACAGAAATCTTATCAGATTTGCCAGAGCAGACAGGAAAAGGCAGTAGTGGCGGCCATGGGCAGCACCCCATGGGCAGTGGTGGGGAGGATGGAGGCCTCCTAGGTACTCCCATCCGTGATTCTTCCAGTTCAGGTCAGGGCAGCGCAGTATTTGACTCAGCAGACATTTTCAATACCAACAGCAATGAGAATCCTTTCACAGATGCTGCTGATCTTATTGCTGAGGCAACTGCTGCTACACCCACCAGCGATTCCTCTTCCACAAACTTCTTTCCTGATGCTGCAGACTTCAACCCTGACCTCCTGACCTCAAGCCATGGCTTCTCCCAGAATTATTTTGATGACAGCTCTCCCAGTGCTGATGGAGACATGGACCTGGTCAAGGGTTTTGTGGGAGGCAGCCAGCAGAATACTCCATCAGGAACACCACAGAATCCCACTCCACATGGGCAGAACACCCCAGAGCCCTCACTGAAGGACCCTTTTGATATGGGAATAGTTTTCACTGGCAGCGGAGGTGGCAAACCGCTTCTGGGGCAAGCTCCTGATTTGGGGGAGACGCATGGTGGAGGGTCCCAGAGCCCTCTTATGATGGGGCTCGGAGCAACATGTGGTGACTTTAAAAGTGCAGAACCTAAAGTGAAACAGCAACAGGGACTCATACGGGCAAAGGATGAGAACGGGGGCAGTGGAGGGAGCAGCTCTGGGGTGGGAATGGGGAGCAGCTCAACAGACGGCAAACAAGTTAAACGTAGCAGGACCCCATCCAGTGAGGGAAAGTCTAAAGATAAGCCTCCCAAGCGCAAAAAGGTGGACCCTGATGGGAAGTCCCCCTCTCACAGCTCAGGGGGACGACCATACACTCCCCCTAGTGGTGGCTCAGGCTCTGGGGGAAGCATAAGTGGAGGAGGTTCCAAGTCTCCTGGTAGTTCAGGACGCTCGCAAACTCCTCCTGGTGGTGCCACACCTCCGATTCCCAAAATTACAATTCAGATCCCAAAAGGGACCATAACAGGGGGAAAAACTACATCCCATAGTGGATACACCTCCAGCAGCTCAGCCACAAGTAATACAGGAGGAACAGGGGGAACCAGCAGCAGCAAAAGCCATCATTCTCACTCTTCTTCCTCTGGGAAGATCAAGTCTAAGGAAGGCTCAGTGACACAAGGCAATAGCTCCAAGCCAGGGAGTGCAGGAGTAGGTGGTGGAGGTGGGCCATCCCAGTCTAAAGGGTCCTCCCAAGGAATGGGTGTTGGCAAGCCAGGATCCTCCCCTATCACCAAACATGGGCTGTCTGGACCTGGAGGCCCTGGAGGTGGAATTGGAAGTGGAAATAAAATTAAGCCTCAGGGGGGCAAGCCTCCTGGGTCTCTTATGAATCCCAACATGAAGCCCAACATCTCCCCTTCTCACTCCCGTTCCAGTACCTCAGGTGACAAATTATCCTCCCCTATGAAAATGCAGCAGTCCCAGGTTCCTGGAACACCTCCTTCATCCAAGGCTAAATCACCAATGGGCTCAGGAGGCAGCAGTTCTGGAGGGTCTAAGTCATCTTCTGGTGGAGGCATGAGCTCCCAGAAGCCAATGGGTGGGAGTTCTTCCTCTGGCTCCACATCATCCACATCATCCTCCAGCTCCTCCTCTGCTTCAGTGACCCTCTCTGGAAGCTCCCAACCTCAGTATGGGAGTAGTGGTGGTGGAGGAGGAGGAGGAGGGGGAAGTAGTGGGGGGGCAGGTCAGAATAACGCAAATAATCCTAATGCCAAAGGGAAGTCTCCCAGCCGAAACAAGAAACCATCTCTCACGGCAGTCATAGATAAACTGAAGAGTGTAGGTGGAGGAGGAGTAGGGGAGGATGGGTGTGAGGTAGGGCCACCGGCAGGGGGAGCTTGTTCCACATCCACTCCTGGTGTCGGTGCTGGAAATGTTCCCAGCAGTGGCCCATCAAACATGGGTCCTTCCAAACATGTGCCATCCCAGAGTGGGGAGTACAAGCGGGAGAAGTCAGATAAAGAGGCAAAAACAAAACCGCCAGGGACGAGTGGGGATAAAAAACTAATGGACCCAAAAACAGGAGGGGTGGGCACGACTGGTCTGGCTAAAATTATCATTAGCAAGCCTGATGGTGGTTCACCAAGCATAAAGGCTAAAGTGACCCTTCAGAAAGCAGGGGAAGGATGTAGTGACTCCATGCGTCCCCAAATTTCAAGCCACAAAGCTTCTCCCCTCTTCAGTGGTTCTACTCCCAAGCACGACCGCTCCTCCCCAAGCCACAGCAGATCACCAGGATACACTCCACTCAACCACGACAGCGAGAGCGAGTCAGGCAGCAGCTCAGTGGCTGAAAAATCCCACCAGAACAGCCCCAGCTCGGATGATGACCAGACGATACGTCCCCTTCCCCCCCAGGACTACATGAGTTCCATCCCCCTCAGCTCAGGGGAGAAGCACAAGAAACACAAGAAGGAGAAAAAGAAGCAGAAAGAGAGGGAACGGGAGAGGGACAGAGACAGAGAGCGGGACCGGGACAAAGAGAAGAAAAAGTCATCGATGACGATGGGGCTGTCCTCGCATCCACTAAAAGCAGATAGTTGGTCCAGGTCACCCATTTCAGCTTCAGATTCTTCGTTGTCCATGCTGGGTTCAGAGCGTCCATCCCGGCCCAGTCCAATGTATATGAGAAATGAAGATGATGACCTCATGGACTCAGCCCTCACTGGCAACCTCTAATTTTCTTTAGAGAGTTGCTTTGTGTTGTCACCATTTTAACACATGCCTTTAAACAAAAAAATTAAACTCTTATTTATTTAACTCATGCCACAAGTTGGAAGTGGATATAAGACTTGCGGCTCTGAATGATCATTTTCCTGCAAAAGATGTATTTTTATGTCTTATTTAAACTATTGCAACGCTGTCATCGTCATCCACATCCACCTCAGAAGCAGCTTCCCTAGGGAAGTGGTTTTAAACAGTATATTTTTGTAAAAACTGGCATTACTTTCCTGAATGTCAGAAGGTCTTTATTGTCACTAAGTAGTTATTACATGTTTTGCTCTCATTTACTACATATACCACTGTTCCTACGTCGTTGTTAAAAACATTACTGTTTATTGTCAAAAAAAGTATGTTTGTTAAAAGCAAGTATTCTAAAGCAAGAAAGGTACAGTGTTCAGTTGCCTTGTTTTTCAGATACAATTGGGAATTTTTAGATTTTGATACATTTTACTTTAATTTGTAAATTAGTGTAGACAGAAAAGACTGCAGCACACATGCTGGTAATTTTTTTAACTGTAGAAATGTTGGAAGCTCAAAATAAACATTGCATTAAAATAAACATTGCATTTATGGAAAAATTTCACCATCACAGTTTTGTATTTAAAAAAAAAAAACTTTATTGATGTTTATTTCAGGCAACAAAGTGCAAGCATACACTCCTGTAGTAACACATTTATTTAGCCACAGTAACAAAACTAATAATCTATAAATGATACATTTAATCATTTTAATTTATTTTTGATCGTCTGGCTTTCAGCTGAATGTAGTTGTCAAACAGCAGCTCCGCTGCACTAGATGGCAGTAGTGTATCAATGTTCAGTTACTGTTAGCAAGATTACACGGTGCCTTGCACTGAGTTACACACTCCCACAGGTAATGCTTGGTGGTTGGGCATTTCACACCTTTATTCATAGGTGTGACAGAATATTTGTGAAATCATGATGAAACCACAAGGACAGAACAGGATTTAAAAAGCCAACAGGCAAATTCATAAATCGGCCATAACATTATAACCACCGACAGGTGAAGTAAATGACACTGACTATCTGTTACAATGGCACCTGTCAGTGTGTGGGGTATATTAGGCAGTAAGTGAGCATTCAGTCCTCGAAGTTGATGTGTTAGAAGCAGGAAAAGGGGGCAGATGTAAGCATCTGAGTGACTTAGACAAGGGCCAAACTATCTGGGTCAGAGCATCTCCCAGTCTGCAGTGGTTAGTACCTACCGACAGTATTTAAGTAAGGACAAACTGAACTGGTGACAGGGTCATGGGTGGCCAAGGCTCACTGATGACAAGGTTTATTTACAGTAGATTAAACTTTTAAATTTCACTCATAGTTTACAAAAGAGTGTTTTATTTGAATCTTTGTTAAAATTGGTGAAAATGAGAAATACATTGGTCTCTATGAAGAGAAACAATCAGCAGCTGTAGTGGTGATATTACACTTAGAGCGGGGAGGCTGGTGAATATGTCTAAAAAATTGTTTCTAACTTGTTCTTAGGACCACAGTTCATTCCTTTTACCTATGTTCTTCACTCAATGGTCAACACATTTGTGTTCTTTCAGACTATGGAAGCAAATGGATTCACAGAAAATGCACAGCGAGCTGCAGAGTGACACAAGTGCCAACCAGATGCCACGTTGACTCCTGTGTACACAGTATTAGGCAGGTGGTCATAATGTTATGGCTGATCAGTGTATATGCCTGATAGAAGATTAGACTTTACTTTTTGATAAAGCTTATAGTTGGGGCATGGCTCAGGGTTAGTTATGCCACTACAGGCCTAAGCTGCTGGGGGCCCCCAATGTTGCGCTGAGCCCCCCCACCACCCCACCCCACCTCACCTCACCTAACCTCTCTTCTTTTTCCATGCATCTGTATACCAGCATTATGTCATTCACTGTCTCCTCTCTCCTGTAGTGTGTCCTCTCTCTCTCTGTACATTTCTCTCTATGCACTCAACCCAACAGGTCGAGGCAGAAGGCCGCCCACCAGGAGCCAAGGTCTGTCGGAGATTTCTTCCGTTAAAGGGAGACTTTCCTCCTCACCACCAAGTGCTTGCTCAAGGGAGATTTCTTGGGTTTTTCCTCTATAGTAGTAATAATAATAGTAAGGTCCTGAGATGACCTTTGTTGTGATTTGGTACTATACAAATAAAATTGAATAGAAAAAAAGACATTCTAACATAACCGTAACGTCCAAGTAATAATACATTAAACCAAATGCGGCTCCAATGCTTCCAGTCAGTTGACCTTCTGACCCCCATCACCTCACTTTTCTCCAGCTCTGCTGGCTGGGCTGATAAACTGCTTAGCTAACACAAATGAATGGAGTCTCTTAATGATTTAAAAAAAAATCTATTGCTATGGAGTCAGTGTCTCAGATGAAACTCTGTTCAAATGGCACAAGAGAATCAGCAGGTGCACTGTAATAGGCAGCAGCTTGGCTGGGTTAGTTGCTTAGTGATTGATTGGCTTCCCATTCCTGTCGGTGACCCAAAGGGCCCAGCTCAGGACCCCTGATGGAGGTAATCTAACTCTTGGTACTGTGCGGTCATATGAATAAGTAATGGCACTCTTGGCAGTTTCTCGGTTTTCTGCATAGGTTGGTCATGAAATGTGATCTGATCTTCACCAAAATCACAAATATCAACAAACATCTATAAGTTGATAAAACACAAACAGCCATGATTGTTCCTGTTTTTACTGAACACACCCATTAAACATAGAAAGTTTTGGTGGAAACAGTAATGGCAACAGTGTTTTGATAGCTGGTTGAACCACCTTTGTGAAAGGTATAATTTGACTGGAATTAAGATAAAGACTGTGAGTGCATGTTACAGTCCTATCACTTTCCAATCATTAAGTTTTTGGGACCTACAAATTTGTCACATTTCACATATGTGCAACACAAGGAAAAGGCAGATACCGAGTTGAGTTCTGCGAGTTTCCATCATAAGGAAGGGCTGCAGTTCATGACTGTTGATGAGCTGTATAGCACAAAAATAACCTCTCGGCTTATCCTGCAGATAAGTAAGCTAGGGGCAGTCATTTTCAAGTTAGTTCCAATCTGTAGCTGCACACAGTCAGCTTTAGGAGGCAACAGAGGGAAGGGGGAAAAGAAGAGGAAGTAGGAATAAAAGCAAAGGATGGAGGGAGGAGAAGTGAGTGGAGATGTATTTTTGGCCTGAGAATGCTACATCCTTAAGTAAGGATATGTACTGTATTAGAGTGAAAGCCACAGGCAAACTGCAGCTTGTGCTCTCTGAAGCACAGCTTACAATGTGGAGGCAGTACAGCATTTTATCAGGAATGTTGCTGTCTGAGCAGACTGAGTTTTAACATTCTCTTGGCTTTATTCAGCAACAATAAAAATGTAACGGTGTCACTGTGCCATTTGTATTTTTGTCTGCAAGGCCACATGCTGTAGCTCAGCATCAATCACAGATTAATAATTGTTCTGAGAAGAAAGAGCAACCACAGATGAATGGATTTCTCATTTACATGTTCCTGGAACTGAGCCATGAAAACTGGGTTTGTTTATTGAGGGTTCATTTATTCCTCAGAGGGAATTTATTGCTTTGTTTAGTTCATCAGTAGTTTGCAATTTCATTTTCATTTTGACATTAAATCATGGTTTTTCTTCATGATCCTACATGCTTTCAGGGAACAGCTGACATAAGTAGCTTTAAAAATGATGTCAGCTAAACTAAAGGAGGTGTAAGTTCTTGGCTCTTGGTGCGTCAACACAAAACATTTCTTTGTAAATTCTGTCCTGTTTGAACATTACATTGTAAGAGTTGTTTAAATGAAAAACATAAGTATGTGACACTTAAAAGAATAGTTGGTAATGTGGTATAGTACATATAACATGTTTAAGAGTTTTTTTCCTTCTACTTTGCATGGTGAGTTTTCAGCACCACGGAGAGTTCCACCCCACTAGCTTATAGGCTATGCATATTGAACTGGGACGTAGAGTAAATGTAATGACTCATTGTATTCATTCTAAACATTTGCTTGTATAATGTGGGATTGTTAACAAATAAAACCCTCTGAAAATATTGAATTTGAAAGTTTATTGTGACAAATACATAAAAAAAATTTGAATGGACTTTTCAGGGCTTTCACCCACATGCTGTGGTATATCTGGTATAGAGTGGATGTTTTGTAATAACATAAGACATATAAGCCATAGGGAAATCCATCGTTGTGTGTTTTACTGGTTTAGTAATTCTTCACTGACTTCTGAGCAAGAGATTCATCTCATTATTAGACCTCTTTCAGGGAAGTCAGAGAGCAGAACCTAAAATAATATTGCATGTCATATCAAGCCACATTCCCTCAGCTGGAGGAATCACATGTTTTTCTCCATTTCATGCTCTATCTCAACCAAAACTATAGTATTGGTGCTAGAGTGGGTCATTTGTTTTGTGTCCTTAACTCGTTTCTCCTCAGTAGGGTTATTTCATTAAAAACAAATGGGATTCTACTGTTTCTATAATTCCTGTGTGGCAGGAGTGCGAGTCAGCAAATGACAGCGCTAACCCCCTTTTGGCACATCAGGTACAACCCCTAATGTCGTTCTGACCACCCTCCCATCCACTCTGTCTGTCCATCTCTCTCTCACACAGAATTGCTCCTGTAGGACTGTCCTGTCGGCGTGCTGCTCCACCCCAAGTTTATAGAGTGTACATTTTTACATGAACACTAAGTGTAGTTCAAGCTACCCTGGTGGCAGCAGTGCAAGCTGGGCCCTTGATGTCCTGGAGCCACACCAGCAACTGAGTCTGTTTACACTGACCAAATATTTTTTTGGCTAACTACATGATATTCATCTGTTTTGGACTGACGATTGAACATGCAGTGATCTATGTTAGCCTATTTAGTGCATGAGGCAACATGCTTTCTTACTACAGTCAAGTCAGTTTAATTTCCATAAAATCAAGTTAATATCAGACAGTGGAATTTCTTTTCTATCTGCTTTATTTTGTTATAATGAGTTTAACAGTATAGCCTGTGTCTGCTCCAGCTGTCTTTGTGTCTCACTGATCTTACAGTGAGATACCTCAGTAGTGACTCTTGACCAAACCTGGCACACCTTCTGTTCCATTCCTGTGTGTTCACAGCATCTTGCGAGTTTCTATTGCAGTAACATGCCCATTCCTTATGGTCTCATGCCATAACCTACTTTTTTGTAGTCATGTCTGGCATCTCCTTCTATTCAGGCTGTTGCTAAAAAAATGTTCCCACCTTTCATTTTGTTTTGTTGTTCATAATTCACAGGGAACCTGACAGAAAAGGTCTGACATCAGCTATACAATGAGGTTCAGTTCGGTTTCACAGTTTTCACTTTTAGATTCTGACACCGTGTACTTTTTTGTATGTGTGTGGTCATGAAAATAGAGAAGCGGTCTTGAACATCTAACTGATCCACCACACACACTCAAGAAATCCGCACAGTAAAAAAGTGGGCCATGTATTCCACATGGAGCAGGCTCACGGTGAAAAACTCTTCAAAGTGATAAATAAAAAAGCAAGGTTGTTTCACACATGGGCAAACGTTTGCTTGTTACATCATGAAAGAGATTTGTCTCCTCTCAGGAATTAGTAGGTTAATGTTTGACCCAGATACAGCAGGGATCTGTGCATGTGCAGTATTCCAGACTTTAAAGTAAGCCTTATCACTGAAATAGAAAAAAGATCTTTAAAAAAAGTTTTTTTTTTCATTTACAGCTTCAACCAAGCCTGAGTGACTATTTTTTCCTCTTGAGCATCTTGTCTTTGTCCGGATTCCATTTAGAAAGTTCAAATCATGATGGCTCTGACTGATCCAAGGCTCATTTGGGAGGCAAGAGATTTGCATGCTAAGCCTGGCTGCACATGACAAGATAACATGTGACCTGATTTTACACAGTTCAGTACACACTGTCCAAGATCTTGAAGCTGAATGAGAATTATAATCACAATCTGAGTCATGCAGTGGGTTTTGGACTTGAGTGCTGAACATGTCATGGTCAGCAGTGAAATTGTCAGTTGAAACATACAGTACTATAGAGGTTAAAATACAATTCACCAGCTCCAATTTAGCATTGCACTCTTCTAAAATTGATGCAGCAGAAGCTGTGATTTTTATTTCTTTATTACACACATTCTTCTCTCTTATCAAACCCTGGTGCCTACATTACCCAGAATGCAAACTGACTGGGGTGTGTTATGCTAGTAGAGACTAATGCCGCCTTGAGCTGCAAGCCTCAAGCTTAGATGGGAAGCGGGCTACAGAGGCTCACTAAGCTCACTTTTCTTTCTAATTCCACACCCCAAGATGTTTAAAAGTCACTTAAGCAGTACATTAATTGCAGAGAGAATGATCTTATGTGTTCAAGCTTTGATTTATATACAGTTACAGAATGGATCTCACTTCATATTACAATCCTTAGTCACTGCTGCAAAATCAGTCCTGGACAATGGCTAAACAGCAGCACATGGGAACTTGGCAGGCTCCACATAAACCACACCCAAGCAGAGCCTAATAAAATTGCCTTAAAGCAAAAATAAAAGTCTCTGGCCACCTTGGGCTGAGAAGCAGCTTATGTCAGCTGCCTTACCAGACTGCCTGCTACAGGACGGTTCCTTTTGCACTGGAAATAGATGAGAAACAAAATTGCCACAGATGAAGAATGATAACGAGTGTACAAGAGGGAGTGGTTAGAGTGATGGATTTGGAAATGAAAGAGAAGATGAGAGGATAGATAGAGGGGAACACAGACAACAGGGTTATGCTAATTTGAGCTGAAGGGGAGATGAAATAGAGTCATATCAGGCCATGTACCTTCCAGAGACAGTGCCCCAATCCCCCTTGGTTGCTCCTTGCAGCTCCACTTAACAAGCATATCACACTCTCACACAAATGCACATTTCTATGCTGAGCGATGCAATTTTTATTTTAGGTGACATGTGGAAATGCAGTAAGACACCTAGAAGTGTAGGGGAAAGGAAAACTGGAAAACTTAGAAAAGATGGTTTATTTACATATTTGAAGAAAATATCTGTATTCTATTTTATTTTATTTTTTGTTAAACTACCTTTGTGGTCAAAGTGGCAATGCTTATGTGTTGTAAAATGTTTGTTTCTTCAAAATTAAACATTAGGTTCTCCAAAGAGAGTTGAATTTGATGTGAAATGTACGCTTTTTATGTTTGTGTATGTTAATGAAAGAGACAGAGATGTAGGGTAATGTATCACAAGTAGCACCGACATGAGAGGAAAGGATATCACTGTTTTATGTTTTATTTGTCTTCTGTGTTTTGTTGTAAAAGATTGATGCTGTTTTTGATGTGTTCCAATTACCCGCTGTCACGACACTTGCATGCATAATATACAAAAAGCCATGTAGGCACTGAATTAAAATAAAAACACAGATAATCACTAAAACTTCATATCTGCCTGACTGTTGACATAAGGAATGCAAAATGAACACATATCAGATATGTGACATGGCAAAAAAAATGTACAAGTTGTAGCACTTTAGAGCATACGGAAATAACTGTGTACAGGGACATCTGTCATAATAATCATATAAAGGTTTTTAAAGCAGCAGAGCAATACTTGTAGTAAGGTCACAAACTCTCTTCACTCAGTTGCATTTTAAATTGGATAGTAGCGCTATCTCTTCCACACACACAGTTACATTGTGAAGCTGTTGAGAAGTCCTTATCAGCTTTTTCATGCATTTATGGGTTTTTAAAAAAGCTATTTCATTTGCATAATTGCCTGCTGCACCACAACACATTTTGTTTTAGTGGTAGGATCTTTCAGTGCTCTGTCAAGCTGCTCAAGGCAGCTACGATCGTCTTAGACAGCTGCCACTGAAAAAGTGGGATGTGGTGTACAAACCTAATCTGCTTCAGAGACAAAAAGAAAACAAAGTCCATTGCATCATAATGCATTTTACAGTGTTTAAACAGTGGATAGATAGATAGATAGATAGATAGATAGATAGATAGATAGATAGATAGATAGATAGATAGATAGATCATTAATAAGATTTGTTTGGGGAGTATATGTGCCACTCAGTTTTACATGCAGGTAGAGAGGAGCTGTCCTTGGTGCTGAATTAGCCACCCATGCTTGGCTGCTGGTGCTGTCTGTGAGCTGTTGCATCTACCTAGTCACCTGTGGCTCTCCAGTATAGTGCTACACCTGGACAATGTTGACTTGTAATGTTTGACAGTGTGGTTTTATTTACTTGTAATGTTTGACAGTGTGGTTTTATTTACTTGTATGTTAAACTTCAGCACGGGTATGGGAGCTAACAGGTGCTATAGAAAGTATTGAAAGTATGCGGGCAGATGACCCATGTGATTGTTAAATTGTTATATATTATTTGATTATTGTCCCTTTTGCATTAATATCGATGTAGCATGTTGCTGTTGAAGTTAGTCCAGCAGTCAGTTGTAAAATGCATATAGCCTATTTCTGGATAGCTTAATTTGTAACAATCTGTCATATTTTATCAAATAAATGTGGTGGAGTAAAAAGTTTATCGTTTCCTTGTAAATGTAGTGGAATGTAAATTTAAACAAATGGAAGCACCTTAAAGTTGCATTTAAGTACTTCCGTATGTCAGATACATTCTACCACTGGATACCTTAAACTAAGGTATGAATGGTCTAATGAGTGTGAAAATGCCTTGACAGTCACAAGGTTTCAGCCCAGAACAATGACTGCAGCGCTTCTTAATTACCACCATCATCATAACGCCAAAGGTGGGAACGAGGGAAAAGCAGTGCTCATCTTTCCAGTAAAGAAAATAGGCTAAGAAAAGGATTAATTGTTTAAATGTTTTGCACATCCCTGCTAAACATAATGCCATAGCGTATCCCGTCTTCATGGATAGAAAATTAAAGGTATAGACAATAGCGTTTTCACACCTGCCTTTCTAAAGTTTCGTAGTACTACCGCTGGAGTCCCAGCGTCATCATCTCTCAGCCAATCCCGACGCTCTCCACCGTTACTTTTAACATGACTGGACCAATCAGGGCGAGCCGAACACCTTGTCACGGGGAAATCAAAGTTGCTGTAAGAGCGCGCGTGTGCACGAGGGGATGGGAGAGGAGCGAGGAAGAGGAGAGAAGTGAAGTGGCTGTAGCTACGGGATGGTTTGCTCCACGAAAGATATATTTCATTGTTACTTCCTGCACCATTTTGGAGTCTAAAACCCGAAAACAATACGCATCTTTTCGACGGAATACCTTATTGTACTTAAAAGCAAATTCTCAAATGGATGCTGCAGACGAAAGATGACTTGAAACTAGCTCTACCTCTTTAGTGTAGAGACTGTGACGATTTGTAAACCCCTGTGTGCGTGCTTTCATCGTTTCACTGTCGCCGTGGACTCATCATCAGTTTAATTTAGTTTTCTTTCACAGGAGTATTTTCTGATCTGAGATGACGGAAATCAGTGACAAGGAGAACGAACCACAAAACAGGGACCTTCACCGACCACAGGCCACTGTGCCCAGCCAACCTGAATCAAAGGTAACCACATTGTACAATTATGGGATTGTTGTTCATATTAAAGCACACAGGCCCCGCAGTCGGTTCCTTCACATGAAGCTAAGGGGTCCTAAAGCTGGAGCGCTCTGTTTGCATAAATTAAATACTTCTGAAGGATTCTAACCAAATGTAATCTTTGTTTTTGCTCGTTTATCCATCTGTTTTGTTTAAATTAAAACCATTTTTACTGGAATGTTTGACTTACCCGCTTAAAACAAGTTGTTTTCTGCCTTAGGAGACTAATTCTGTGATGGCTACGGTTCTCTAAGCTGCTTTATTCTTGTAACTACTGTGATCTCAAAGTCAGAGGGCAGAGATTATCCTAAGGTGCAGGAGTGAGCTTTTTTTGGTTTGTGTAGTGAATGCACCAAATATTACAGACAAATACTGTGTTTTATTTATCTGCAGTGGTGAAATGTTCACAGGCAGTTGCCAGTATTCCTTTACTGGCTTCCGTATATAGAAAATGGGATTCAAACAGAGACAGACAAGTAAAGCATGATGCTTTGAGAAGGTGCAGATAAGGCCAAAGGGCTGCAGCCCAATTTACAAAGAGGTGTCCATGCATGTTTAAACATATTAATTTGGCAATGTGCAACATATATCAATTCTTTTAGGTCATAAAATATACAGTACTGTCATGCACCACCACATATTAGAAGTCATGCTCCTGCTGCTTGGAATAGTCTGCAAAAGGAACGTAAATCAATTATTCTGATATTTCTGACAGAATTCAGGACTATTAACCGTTATTCATTGTCTGCATATAGAATCATTTTTGTATTATACCCTGATTTTAGTGTTGTGTAATTCATTTGCTGCTTGTGCAGCTTTTTATGTTGCTAACTCGGCCAGGCCTTCCTTGCAAAAGAGGATTCAAATGAACTAAAAAGTTGGGTTAGATATAATTAAATAAGCACAAAACTAAAATGATATAAGTTTCAAAACAATATTTTGACTTCTTCAAGGTACGATTGTAATGCCTTTATCATCTCAGTAGTGCCTCATATTCCCAAACACATTTTCAGTTAAATTAGCACAAAGCAGTAAATGAGTATTCCTGAAGGCCCCAGGGTTCTCAGGCCTCAGGGAATTGCATGCATTGTTGGAAACCAGAGGTGTATAATAATAACCTCAGCTGTGTAATTAAGTATTTTAACAAAAAGGACTTCTTGTTGCTGATTATTTTTTCTTGACAAAAAATGCAGCTGGACTTCTGTTCACAGTTCATTCTCACTTACTGACTTGGCCTAAATCTCCCACATCACATTTATTCTTTAACATTTTCAGATGAGCCTAAAAACAGTCCTGATTGCAGCAGCAGTCACAGCTGTAAATTGTATTGTGGCAGTCTTTTGTTGATCATTGCCACAGGGACTTGGAGCAAACCTGGCAGGGCAGGCGTCTTGTTTCTATTTGACTGCAGACAACACAATGGATGGTGGCCATTGAGATGCTGCATGAATTTATGAGCCAATCAGCTAGCAGCTGTTCACTGTGGCTACCTAGAGGCTGGGCCATAATTCACAGAAATGGCCGTCCAGATAATACAGAACTGGGAGGGAACAATTGTCCACGCTGCGACAGCTGTGTAGCTCTGCATTTACAAAACCCCTGCTGGCAGCGGCGACCACTCCACATCCCACAGGAGAAGAGTAACGTGAGAAAGGGGAGGGAGAGACTAAATGTGTATTACAGTCTGCTCAAGGGTATCTCTAGAGTTTCACAGTTTCTTTCTGTCACTCGCAGTCTTCTTTCTCCTGCATCACACTGTTCATTTCATGACAATTTTCTGATTTGCTTTCCCTCTTCTGCCTTCATGTCTTTCTCTTTCTCAGCTCATCTTACTGCCTCACTCTGCATTCCTTCTCATCTCTTCATCAGCTCTCCTTCATCTCTCGTTCTGCTCTCGGTCTCTCCACCGTCCCTCGGCTCTCAGAGTATTTGTCACAGTGCTAAGTGGGCCCACTAGCTTTCTAGAGTGCTTCTTATAGAGGCTGTGACAGAATGAATAGTTGTTCCACCTCCTCCACCTACAGGCAAGGTGATTGCTCCAAAAATAATATTATTCCTTGCTAATCACTTAGAGCACATGCCAGTCAAGTGTCTTGCATTTAGTGAGATACAATAAAGGTTGTGATTAGGAGGATTAGTTTTACATTTATTTTTTGCAAAATATTTCTGTTCTTGCTGAGAGTTAGAGAAGATCAGTACCACTCTCCTCTCCAAAGCCAACGAAATCCACCTACAGTACCAGCACATCACTAATTATCACATTGTACTGTATTTCATTTCTTTCATCTGTAAAAAACCAAAGTGTTAAAACATCAATTTGCTGTTTCCTGGGGCTTTATGCAGTAGGTGGATTTAGTTATCTTTGGACAGAGCAAAGCTAACTGTTTCCCTCAGTTTCCACTCTATATGTTAACCAGGGCAGAGCTGCTTTCTTTTCTAACTGACAAGAAAGCGTGTTTCCAAAAATATCAACATTAAAATCTATGTTGCTTAGTAGTGGATGAAATGAGAGCTGTGCTACATAGAGTTTAATATTTAGGCTACAGAAGATGCGGGTGTACATGCTGATAGTGCAGTTCGATGCTTTGCCCCAGTCCACAGAGTCTTCACATGGCCCAGTGCGTTCTCAGCTAACGCAAAGACATTTTTATGAGGTGAAATGATAGCAGTGGTTTGTCTCTGACTTTGCCCTTCACACTCACTTCCCACAGATCTTTTTTGTCACTAACCTTATCAGCGTGCTTTCTCCACTTCTTATCTAATTAATTTCTTGCTCTCTACTTAAACTACAGTATATATTTCCTTTCTCCTTTCTGTTCCCCATTTAAATGAAACACAACACCTGCACTTCACCTCATCTCCTTCCCTTTTTACCTTGTCTTTTTCTAAATTGCTGTGACTGCTGATGTTTCCCTATACATATACA